GGAGATGATGCTGCGGCGCTGCTTGACAAACTCAAAGGCCTCGTCCAGCTTCACGCGGTTGGTCCGCATGAGGTAGGCAAGGCATATGGTGGCGGAGCGGGAGATGCCTGCTTGACAGTGCACAAACACACGGCCTCCTTTATTCCTCACAGAGTCTGGGGGAGAAGAGAAGAAAAAGGCAACATTAGTTCACTTTAAACCTTGCATTACAAAGAATTGAGGTTAAAACTTTCTCAGGAAGGCAAAACCACAAAAGTCATTGCAACACTTTCAGTTGCTATTTAAATTCAACGGGCTCATTAAGACACAGGAACACAGTTAATAGGGGTGCAGGGTGTGAGCTGGTGGGGGTTATTCCCAAAGGAGGCAGTCTGAATAGACAAAAGAGGGGAACAGACCCCTGCTGGGGTATTGATCTGGGAGGAAGGCAGACAGTGAGTGAGGAGAAATTGCTTTTGTTCAGCCGGAACAAAGAGTGGCTTGGAGGGATCTATTCAATCCCAGTCAGCCTACCCACTACAGAGCTAGTTTGGGACCACTGCCTAACAATTCATTAAAAGGGGGCATCCCTTTTTCTACGCCTGAGAGGTGGTGATGATGTCACCACCATTGTGTTGGAGTGGGGAGCCTGTGCTGAGCCAGCTGGTCGGTTTTGGAGGGAACTTTTTAAAATTTAAATCCGGGAGTCAAACAGTGAAGTGGAGGAAGAAGGGGGTTGGGTGTTTGTGTTGCTTGCCATCAACGGGCTCAGGGGGTAACAGCTGTGATAGGCGCTCACATTTAGCAGTTGAGGGGGTGTGAAGGGAGTAAAAATGGCAGACATACTCACCAATAAACTCGATTGCCTCGTTGAACCAGGAGCTGATATCAGCTTTATGGTTGTCCTCGACTGGGATGCTCTTGTAGAGGAAAGAGTCCTCAAAGTGGTTGGGGCAGTTGGCAGATACGTTGATGAGAGCGGTGATCCCCAGCATGTCCAGCATGTCTTTTCTTGAAGCGTGGTAAGCACTGCCAAGGTACAGGAAAGGCAAGATCTCCACAGGACCCCCCTGAACAGAAGAAAATAAACAAAACAAATTAGTCATACATATACAACAAGACAGTAAAACAGGAAGTGAGAAACAAATGTGTACTTAATGTGATTACGCACAAAATAAAAAGATACACACCTGATCATAGAGAGGAGTATTGCAGGGACTACAGCTTGGGTCTGCGCTCCCAGGACAGCTGGAGCTGAGAGGCAAACTCAGCCCTTGTGGAGGGGAGGGTTTGGTACACATCCCTGGATACTCTGTTGAAAACGTTTCAAAACCGCCTGTAAAAAATAGGAAAAGACAGCTAGGTCAGATCACAGCACAGAGAAGCATCCACGATTAAACAAGGGTCTCAAAAAAAAAGGTGACAGCTGCTCATGGAGCTATTTTGGAGCTCTGTTTACTCCAGTACCAGCTGGTATGGTGACAGCTGTAATCCGCATTTGTTGCCCGGTTGTTAGGATACAGTGAAACAATTGTGCGAGGCTCTTCTAAAAAGTAAAACCATTCCCCCCCCCCCGTTTTCTTACCTCTGAGAACAAAAACTCTGGCTCCGCAGGGGTCGCGACACAGGGCCGTAACAGCAAGCATCAGTGTCCCGTCCTTCTTCGCCTGGCTTAAGTCCAAACTGCGGTCGTCAAGCAGCACCACGGACTCGTACTCCCCTGACAGAAGCCGGTTCCTGGTGTCCTCGTTGGGGACGATGTGCTCAAGACCGAGACCGCCTCTGGCTCTCCTGCGCACTATGGTGCTGAAGCGCACGTTGGTGGAGCCCGATATGTGGGACGAGTTGAAGGACAGGAAGGACCGGCAGTCCAGCAGCAGGCAGCCCGGGACGTCGCCCTCCAACAAACCACGGAGGGACGCACAGTCGATGGTGGGAACCTCCATTATGACCATAGTAGGACGGCGGGATTGAAAAACTAAATCCAAATACATAAATCTTGTAACGTTACGGCAGGAAAACAGAAGGTTAGTTGTGTGGTTAAAAAAAAAAAGGCTTTTTCAATGTAATCTTTGAAGCGGCGAGTCCTTTGTTCCGGTTAGCTTGATTATAGAAAAAAAAAAATTAAAACGCACGCACACAAACAAGAAAAAAGTTTCAATACTTTAGTTTCAAAGCTGCTATTCCTCTTCTCGGTTGTATCCAGTAGCTGTAGTTCTGCTATAAAAGTTTAATATCGTTAAGTTCACAACGAGTACGTCTTCTGTCTGTCGCTGCTGTAAAACACACTTATATATGGGCCTTCTTGTGAATGAGGACAGTGACGTAAGGAGACCGCCCCTCTTGGCTTCCTGCCAGCACTGCAGACGTCACTCCCCTCCCCCTCCCTACCCAGCGCAGCTACGGGGCTCGCGCACAAGCTGGACATTTCTGTACAGGCGTACCGCACGTACGCGGGCACGCGGTGTCAATAACTTTTAGACAGGGGTCCGCTCCTGCTGTTAGGCTTTCTATCATACGTCGATAATGAATCTGATGTTTCCTCATTTCAACGTCAACAAATAAGGAATCTGCCTAAATTTTCCATGATGTTACTTTTCAATTAGATTTCTATTTTGTCTCTTCATCTGAGAGTTGACAAATAACAAGATAATAAGTAAATATCTGCCAGGGGGGGCCATAAACGTTTATTCTTTGTTTTTATTAGTCAGAGGTACATAGTGTGCAATGCCCCGAGAGCAAAGGCAAACCATAAAAGTTAATCACTGTATAGAAATCTGATGTCCAGTAAATTTCCACATGCTGAGCAACAAAACACTGGTCTACCAGGAAGACAACATGGAGATCCCTTGATTTGTGAGTGTTGTTTCATTTGTGGCCTAATTGAAACAGATGGATGAGCTGTTTTTCCTCCCGCAAAATTAGAATAGCCTATATTTTAAAAAGCAAACACGATTACAGTCACTCTGGGAAACCCTTTTTGTTTGTTGGTTTGCTGACTCAGAACAACACGTCTGTCTCATAGTAAAGGGAAGAGGTGGATCTTGATTGAAGGACAGCAGGCGTCTACATCGACAAGAGGGTGTGTTGAAACTGCACAGCAGAGAGAGACACGCCGGGCTTGTTTTGTTGTGAAAGAGATATTTACATAGCAAACTTAAAACCAGGTAGGGCCCAGTGTTGTGACACATCCTCCATTCAAAAACCCATTTGACCTTCAGCTCAACTGTGCAACTCAGTCACATTTTGAAGACAATACTGTTGCCCTAAACATCTTAATTAATTGTAATAAAGCCTTTATAACTAAAATGTTATGCTGCATGTGCTAAGAGTTTTACATTGCTTCAAAAGATCAAGCTGACATGACATACACTCTGTAGGCCTTGACGTCATTCTGAACTTATTGTAATCTGCACCAGCAAGGACTTTCAACCTGGTGAATCCACATCCATGCTGTTTTGAACCTTGTGTTTTACTTCATGCAAGAGGAAGATAGATTATGTGGCTGAGGAAGAGGGGTGGGGGAGGGGAGCGTAAGGGAGAGAAATTTCACCAATCACAACAGTGTGCAAAAACTCTCCAGCTGGTTTAACCTCACACACCTGTGAGATGAGTCAACTGTGAAGCACATGCCACAGAGCAGGAATGTTACACACTAGACAAGGGGCTTCGAAAACAGTCCGTACCCAAACACTTTGTCCTTACTGTAAATGTGTCTTCTGTCCAGTCATGAAGTGAAAGTCATCAGGTGAAATTGAACACCTGATGAAGGAGTGAACAATGACAGCTAGTACAGAGGAGGCAAGGTGAGGAGATTGTATATTTCCCTGAAGTAGAAAATGTTCCCTCCACCACCCCTCTCCCCCCAAAAGTGACCCCTATTTTGATTTATTCACAACACCTGCCACTGTTAACTATGAAATTGGTGCTTTTCCAAAATGTTCTGCAAAATATTACAAAAAGTTCAACTGGCGAAATCCATGTATGATATTTTCTATGTAGCTGTTTTGTTGTGATAACCAGCAATAGTGTGAAACCAAAACGTGCAACAACAAAAAAAATACAGAGTTGAGGTCTGAAAATAGAGAATGAGTTGTCGCTCTGTTTTGGATTCCCATACTTATGGGCTGTAACCAACAGTAGTTCTCATCCAGAAAGGGAAGTGAAACAGAGGTTGACAGAGAGGCATTTCCTGTGGTCTGAACTTGCTGTCACTTGCTGTCATCCCTGCCTATTTACTGTTACTGTCACTACGAGCAACAGCTGAGCCATCAGTGGGAAAACACAGGGCCTATCCTGACTTCTAGTGTCTGAAAAACAGACACTTATTTCAGCCAAAAACATTTGGTTTCATGTGGTGAAACAAAACCAAAAAATACATTTGTTGCCATGGGAAAAACCTTAACTAATGGAGTTTGTGGATTTTCTTATATGATGATACATTTTTCAACCACATCAAAGCATGACGTATAGCTCTCTGTTTCTGGTGTGTGTGATGATCAGTAAAAATTCCTTTTATTTATGAACATTAAGCTCGATGAACTTAACAGGCTGCACAGAGCGTGAAAATGAACTTAGGGGCCTACCTACCTGATCTTATTCGCAACTATACAAGTACTAGAAGTTCTTTCCTGGTTATCTTTTTGCACGGCTACTCTTTACAGTTTTACAGGCTGTCCTTATATAGAGCCTAACCATAAATGTATTCATTTTCCAGGGACTGCTGAAGGAAAGTAACTAAATCTGGTACAAAGCATTGCCTCTCTTTGTATGACATTATGTTTTTTGTAGCCTACATGGACAAATTAATGTAATAAAACGTGCTCAAGATTTGTCACTCTTTGTATTTGTGAAAACAAATATAATTTTTGTCAATAAAACGATACAAAATTTTCGGACTTTTATTGGAATTACTAAAAATGAACAAATTATTGGTTTCTCCCCGACAATTTCCAACGATATGATAAATGTAAAAATCGGCGGAAGAAGAATCAGAGTGAACAGGAAGTAGCTCTCAGCCAATCGGCTTGTGCAAAGCGTCCTAAGCTGACGTCAGCCCGGTACCGATGAACAACCGGTAGCGTTGAAGCGAGCCGTATGGTTGCCCGTCGTTTGTAGCTTTTGTCCGCTAGCCCCTCTGTCAAACGTGCAGACATCATGCCTTTCGATGTCAGGAGGTGAGTACGGGGCTTTCTTTGGTTTTTGTGTGAGACGTGAAGGGACGGCGGCGGTGTTTTGCAGTTTGCGAGCTCTGCATGAATTAACGGTTGGCAAAGCTTCGCCTACTAATGAGCGAGTCTTAAGTTGTAACAGTAGTGTTTCACATTAGGCATGAATGGGCCACATTGTCGCAGGGGGTGTAGAGTTTATGTTTAGTCGGCGGAGTGATGCTCAGGTATGCTCAGGAGTTTGTGTGGGTTCCTGCCTGCGCATGTGCAGATTTCCTCATCCATCCTTATATTTGCAAGACGTGAAGCTGGTTACAGTAACCTCAGGGCATAGTAACAGTTTACAGTGAACACGGTATGGCATTGCGGTGTGTGAAATGGTTTACTAAACGTGATGGCCTGATTTAGTTTGATTTACATATCAAAGCTCATTCTCCCAATACACAAAACTGGGTAAAAACATTCAGACTCATTAGCCACCTATACACGTTCAAAAATAGGCAACGAATTGTCAGAAATAAATCTTATCACAGGCATTGCAGAAATTCAGCTAATCTAATACCTGGGCAACAGTCACAGAGCTAATAGTCACACCTACAGGGCTGTTGAAACTGTCAATAGAGCACACCCTAATCAAAGACAGGATGTTTGCGCTCACCATAGTGATCACATAGGTGATCACAAATTCTTGTGATTCAATCCTTAACTGAGTGGAAAGTATTCATTTTGATAAAATCAAAAGATCTAAACTATCGGGGCTGCCTGCAGCTAACGATTCTTTTCATGATCAGTTAATCCGCACATTATTTTTATTCAATCATTTAGTCTGTGTGGCAAAAAGTAGTGAATGTCTTGTTCTGTTTGACTATATATACATATATGATGTGACAAAGAAGTGCAATAAATCCTCTTATTTCAAAGACTCAAACAAGACAGTGTTTGGTATTCTTGATTTTTGAACAAAAAATACTAATGATGAATCATTTATCAAAATAGCTGCTGTGTCAGGGAGTAGAGCGGTCGTCCACTAATCAGAAGGTCGGTAGTTTGATCCCCAGCTCCCCAGTCTGCATGTCTTTGTATCTTTGGGCAAGATACTGAACCCCAAATTGTGCCATCAGTGTATGAATGGCGGCACGGTGGTCAAGTGGAGTTTGCATATTCTCCCCGTGTCTGTGTGGGTTTCCTCCGGGTACTCGGATTCCCCTGACCATCAAAAACATGTTAGGTTCTTCAGTCAGTGCCATTGACGAGACACTGATATAGATCTGGAGTTGGTCCCCGGAGATGGGGGATGGGTTAAATGCAGAGAATGAATTTTGCAACATGTGACAATAAAGTGCCTTTCTATCCTTTCTTTGTGTGAATGGGCGAATGTGATGCAGTGTAAAAGCCCTTGAGTGGTTGGAAGACAAGCAAGGCACCATACAAGTACAGACCATTTACTGTATTTTTCTGTTGATTGACAAATCGTGTTAACTTTATAGATATATCCTACACAAAGTTAAGATGAAGGTGAAAACAAGGAGATACATGTGTAAATCGGTGTAAATACAATTTTTTCATTAGGGAACAGCACAGGATTTCCATCCTTGGTAATAATAATCTGGTCACAATATTGAATTTATGAGACCTGATCACAGCAGTGCTGAAAAAATAGTTGATTGATTGATTTACAGAAAGGTAATTCTTATAATCTGTTTATCATTTCAGTCATTTATAGAGCAAGAATTCCCAACACGCTCTCCTTCCAGTTTCTCCAGTGTGAGGATTTGCTGCTTTTCTCTGACTCATATAATTGTAAATTTAAAATGTTGGTCTGTTGTTTGGACCAAACAAGCGATGCGGGGCGGCTGTGGCTCAGGAGGTAGAGCGGATTGGCCGTTAATCGGAAGGTCGGCGGTTCAATCCCTGGCTCCCCCTGGTTGCGTGTCGAAGTGTCCTTGGGCAAGATAGATAGATAGATAGAAGCTAGTTTCCGTTTGAGCACTTAGGCTCAGTGTATGAATGTGTATGACTGGTGAATGTATGCATGTAGTGTAAAAGCGCTTTGAGTGGTCGAAAAGACTAGAAAGGCGCTATACAAGTACGGAGCATTTACATTTACATTTACCTTGGTGACTGATGATGAAAATGATCGTTAGTTGCAGCCCTAGATAACTTATGACCTGTCTGTCAAACAGTTGATCCCCGTCATTCCTACAGACCACAGCTGCGTTGTAATGACAGAATTAACCAACATAGAGAATGTGGGGCAACACTTGTGTGCACTGCAACAGTAGTTGTTTGAGGGTTGTGTGAGAGCGGGTGTGTTTTGGGGTTATGAAGTGATCACGTCCTGCTCAGACTCTTCACTTGGTGCCCTAATCATACGAAACCTGTGTTGCAACAGCTGGAAATAGCTTGATTGATCAACTAGGCCTTACTAGTTGTTACGAAGGTTTCGCCCACTCAGGGATCCTGAGTGGTTAGTCAACAGTGTGAAGAGTGTGTAACAGCATAGATTACCGTAGGTTACAGCATGTGCTAGGGAAAAGGTCAATTTATTGAATGTTAAAGGATCAGGGCTGTGGAAATCCTGTTAAAACCCTAAAACCAACATTGAGTTAGTAAATCTCTCATAACTCTTGGATACCTGTCTGTGGCATTCACCCACGAGCTCATTGGGGTGTGTGTGTGTGTGTGTGTGTGTGTGTGTGTGTGTGTGTGTGTGTGTATATAAATGCCTTTTTTAAAATTGATACACAACTTGCAACGGCGTTAATGCTGTGAACAGATTGTGCAGAACAAAGGTCAGCCTAATAATTAGAATAACCTCGTTCAGAATGACTAAACAGCCGCTCTTCAGAATGAACTACTGAATAACTGAAAGGCTTTTGTCCTCAAAGTTAATTGACCTTGAGACTATGTCATTTATTGACACACGTGAGCTAACCTGATGATGTAGTGTGTTTGCTCCTGTGACAATTAGATCACGGTGGCTTTAGAGCTTCAGTAAGGATGCTCAGTGTCAATACATGCCATGTTTATCTTGACAGCGATGGGTGACTGTTGGCTGTTACCTGATACTTGACGCACGCTTCAGCCAGATGGCCGAATAGAAACCTGTGTGAAGAAAGACGCAAGCACATGTGTTACCTTCAGCTTTTGATGTGAGATGATCATATGTGAGAAGAAAAACACTAACCATCCGTTATGTGGGTTCACTCAGCAATATACGAAAGGAATGAACTACTGTCTCGCTATGACTCATTTGTAAGATATGATTTATTTAGTAAGGGCCCTTCCTTGAAAAGCGGCCCTGTGGTGTCAACAGAGAGACGGTACACCATGTCCTCACTTATCTCAAAACATCTCAGTCCTTTTACAGAAGACTGAGCAGAGGGAAGTGACGGAGGGAGATGTGTTGACTGCAATTCAGGAAATTACAAACATCAACGATGGACCGAGAAGCGCACTCTCATGAGTCAGCAGTAATATTCATGAATACAAAGTGTTCTGGGTGAAGAAAATTAAGTGAAACTGAGTTCTCACTCAACCTGAATGCATCAAAGGTGTCGCTGAAGTATTTAACTACATTATGTTATATTGTATTTGTATAAGTTTATTAAAAAATATATAAAAATGTCTACTTTAAAGAAATACAAAGAAGATTTAACGTTTTACTAAAGTAAACTGGTGTATTTTAAACAATACTTAATGGTGCTGCACCATATACAAGTCCAATTTAACAAAAGTATATGGATGTCAGCCTATTGGTCATATATTCATATTTTTAATTAGTGCAGTATGAGTTGTGCTTCACTGTACTTTTTGAAATTAAGTCATATATTAGTTTATTCATTGTGACTGAAATGCATGTTAAATCCACATACAAGTCTAAGGATTTAGACATTTTTAAACAAAAGTGACATATGCTGAAGTTTAATTTATTTAACAATAACTGTTTAGATATTTGCAATGCAACAAACATAACATATGTCAGAATTATCATCATATATCATACTTCAGTCTACTTTAATCTGAATTATTCAGGTGTCTCTCACGGTCCTTTGATGGTAAGCCACAATCAGGCTGTAATTCACTTTAACAAATGTGGTTGCTCATAATACAAAGACCAAATTAGGTCTGCGCTGGCCTCTCTGTATTATTAGGATTTTCATATTTATTGAATTAAACCTACAATCATTTTGTAATAGGTGAATTTATGTATTCATTGATCTTTCTTTTTTTTTGTCATTTGTGAGTTGTAACTCACTGTTGACAGAAATGAAAGACTGTTTAATAGGATACCTGGTATTTTGAGATAATAGACATCAGTCGATTCCTGCACTCACGAGGCTGATGTATCGTCCTAAATGACAGCAGATCTAATCTAAAACCATTACTGGCTAGCGTTAAATACTGTGTTGTTATACTGTAGAGAATAATACAGTTGAATGAACTTCTTTTTTCTCCCTGAAACACCATATTCTGAAATCTACAGCAAAAATTTGATGTATAAAAACACGTTATTGGTATAGTATATTGCTCTCTGCATAGAATATTGATATTATACCCGACTTTACTTTGTTTTGATATCAGCATTATATATCAGCTTTCAGCAGCCCTGCCCTTTAAATATCGGCATCGGCCATCGATAAACCCCGTATCGATTGACCACTAGTTGACAGGGTGTGCAACTAGTGCTAGTGCACCTGGTCGGTCATCTTTAAACTGCAAGATAGTGCTGGTGAGCCAGTGGTTTAATTCCATTCTGCCAGTAGGACGAGAATGATCACCCGCACTTTCTTTATAATGCAAAAACAGCTTAGTCAGTGTCAGTCGTATCATAGCAGAATAATCAGTCTGTGAACCAGCAAATGATGTGGTTACATGGCCACTTTACCATGTGAATATGAATCGAGTAAATATTGTATCAAATCAAAATCAAGATAGTGCTGTGATGCCATAATATTAATTATGTTTGCGTCTCTATCCCTTCAAGTCGAATTCAGACATCATGTCTTGTGTCCAGATATAATCCAGACTGTCTGCTGTGCATCCATCTGAGGCTATTTACAGCTCACATGCAGCATCAGATTCCGCCTCGCGTCTCCAGTGACCAGTTCACTGAGATTTTGTTTCCTCGCTCATATTCGAATTTAGTAGTTGGAAACTGACTGCTAAAAATATGCATCTGTGATCCAAGTAGTGAGGATTTCTGTAACTATTTATAACCTGGTCCATGATAAAAACTTCAAAACTGTGTTTCAAAGGCAAATCAACTGCACTTGTGACGTAGCTCGAGCATTTTAGAGCATGCTTAAGTATGTAAAAATGTTAATGGGATAATTTTAAACGTATGAATAAGTATATTAAGATGGCTTATTTTTATGTGAGGGAATATAACTAAGATCTGTGGCTATCAATTGCTAAGTAATATTCACACATGATGAAAATCTATTTATTTAACCTCTAATCTAACTATCTATTAGTTCATTATAATCTCAGCAGAATATTTGAAATGTATTAAAAGTTGTTTATATACATCAGAATTATCTCAATATAATTTACCTTCAGATGTTGTTAAATTTAGATGTATTACATTTTCTAAATAAATAAATCATGTATTAAATGTATAGTCCCCTCCAAAAATATTGGAAGGCAAATTCCTTTGTTTTTGTTGTTCACTGACAAAGACATTTGTGTTTAAGATCAAAAGATGAGAATGAGAAGGGTTCAGAATTTCAGCTTTTATTTCCTGGTATTCACGTCTAGATGTGTTAAACAACTTAGGACATATGACCGTTTGTATTAGACCACAGGTGAACAAAAGTAATGGAACAAATAATCTTAGAGTAAATAACATTTATAATTTGGTGACATAACCCTTGCGTGGAGTAACTGCCTCAAGCCTGCGAACCATCAACATCACCAAACTGTTGCATTCTTCATTTGTGATGCTATTTCAGGCTTTTACCGCAGCTTCTTTCAGTCCGTGTTTGTTTTGGGGTGTTTCTCCCTTCAGTCTCCTCTTAAGGAGGTGAAATGCATTGATGATGAATTGACTTGGCCAGTCTAAAACCTTCCGCCGATGAAGTCCTTTGTTTTGTTGGCAGTGTGCTTTGGCTCATTGTCCTGCTGCATGATGAACTTCCTTCTGATTAGTTTCAATGCATTTCTCTGTAAATTGGCAGACAAAATGTTTCTGTCCACTTCTGAATTCATTCTGCTGCTACCATAATCAGTTACATCATCAGTAAATATTAATGAACCTGTTCCAGAAGCAGCCTTGCACGCCCAAGCCATGACATTACCTCCACCATGCTTCACAGATGAGCTTGTATGCTTCGGATCATAAGCAGTTCCTTTCGTCCTCCACACTTTGGCCTTTCCATCACTTTAGTAGATATTAATTTTGGTCTCATCAGTCCATAAGATTTTGTTCCAGAACTTTTGCAGCTCATCTCTGTTTTTCTTTGCAAATTTCAATCTGGCCTTCTGATTCTTCCTGCTGATGAGTGGTTTGCATCTTGTGGTGTGGCCTCTATATTTCTGCTCTGAACAGTGGATTGTGATACCTTCACTCCTGCACCATGGAGGTCGTTGGTGATGTCACTTACTGATGTTTTGGCAGGTTTCTTCACAGCTCTCACGATATTTCTGTCATCCTTGGCCGACGTCTGTTGCTCAGCACACCAGCAGTTTCTTTGTTTTTCAGGACAGTCCAAATTGCTGTGCCCAATGTTTGTCCAATGGCTCTGCTCGATTTTCCATCTTTTCTCAGCTTGACAATGCTCAGCTTGCTTTTCTCCCATAGACAGCTCTCTGGTCTTCATGTTGGTTTATCCTCTTTAACAGGAAATGCAGTCTTTATAGATTTGGATGAAAACTTAGACTAGTCATGCAGAGCTATTTAATGTTTGAACAATCAACCTAAAGGCAACACCTGGACAACAAGAAACATCTGTCAGTCACATGTTCCAGTAGTTTTGCTCACTTGAAATATGGGTGGGTTCAAACAAAGGGTGGTATGTCCTGAGTTGTTTAACACATCTAGATGTGAATACCACGAAATGAGAGCTGAAATTCTGAACTCTTGTCTCATACTCATCTTTTGATCTTAAACCCAAATTTCTTCAGTGAACAACAAAACCAAAGGAATTTGCCTTACCGTTCTAATACTTTTGGAGGGGACAGTATTTTAAAAATACATGACATCATAAATTTGTTTAAAAAAACAAAAGTAGTTTCCCAAGAGTTCACATAGATTTGCCGTTCAGTGCACACATCTCCCAAACATGCCAACTTTTCAATAACAAAAGTTCTCATTTCTGTTCGGACCACTTTGATTTGGAGTTTATACAACAAGTACAACGCGTCTCCTGAATTTTCCCCACAGGGAGAACATGTAATCTCTGAACTGAACTGAGCAGGATGCTTTCAAGCTTTTCACATGACAATTGTGTCACTATGTAGCACCTGCCTGGTGGCCAGGTCTGTGGCTGGGTGGAGAGGGAGTGAGGAAAGAGAACTTTTGCACGTAAAAGCTTAACATTCAGGAAGAGTGTTACTCTAGAAGTTATTCTGATCCTGATCCAGAATGGCCCCTCCCTGAGTTCCCCGCCCTGCCTCTCTCTATTCTGTCTGCCCTATATATCCTGCCAGGCCAGCTATTACCTCACAGTGATCTAATACTAATGGGAGATGGGTGCAGGAAGTTATAGATGGATGTGGATAAGAGACGGAGGGAAGCTGGCTGAGGTGTTTAGGGTCCAGGGGTCCTTGTGCGGTGGATGAAAACAAAGCAGTGAAAGCAGGCAGGAGCTGAGGCAAAACAGGAGAAGCAGCAGGGTCGGGGCTGGACAGGAAGCCCTCCCTCCCACTTCCTCTCCCACCCTGCATTGCATCAGCTGTGATAATTTCACTGGCAGCTCTCAGTGGAAGAAATGTGAACCGATGTGAGTGTTCTGGAAGGGGATGAGGAAGGAGAGCGAGAGGGGAGACGAGAGAGTAGGCGGGGTTTGCACAGGAGGCGATGCAGTTTGGGGTCGAAAATGTTTCACTCCCCAAAAAGGACATGAGCAAGAACTTGTGAACTTAAATAGTTTTGGTGTTGAGGAGCAGATTTATTCCCCCCCCGTTTTCAACTCCCCAAATAGGCAACAACAGTGTTTCACAAGAGGAGAACTAATTGTGTCGGGTGGGATGATGATCCTCCTCCGCTTCTGATTCACTGATTTACGCACAGTCCGTATTTTCTGAAAATATCCACGTTGATATTCAGGGGTCTTTTTAAATTTAGAGGAGAATAAATCTACAGTCTTGATCCTTCGCTGCTGGTATTACTGTATGTAATTGTTCTGTAACTTCCACTTACTGCAAAGAAGATCAAACCGTATAATTATATTTTGAAGTTCCTGTAGTTGTGTTTATATTCCAGTGTGTGTCTTTTCATTTGCGCATGTATTTATGTTGGCTTTGTGTTCCTGTGTGTATGTTGAGTGTCAGAGACCTTTGTTGGGGTCAGGTCAGGATTACAGAGCGCACATTCAAAGGATGAGGTGTAACCCTGTAAAAAAGAGTGTGTGTATGTTGTGTGTGTGTATGGCTGGCTGTCTGGACCTGTATTGTGTAATGGCGGTGGTCCAGAGCTAACATTCCACCGCTCTTCTGTAATATCGCACAGCCTTATGGGTACAGAATGTACTTCTTTTCTCAGCACGAAGTGTTTACATGTTCTATTTTTTTTCTCACTTTTGTTTTGTTTCCCTTTCTACCCTTCCCTCCTCAGATTCGATATCTACAGGAAAGTGCCAAAGGATCTCACCCAGCCTACATACACAGGGGCTTTCAGTGAGTAGTCCTTCACACGCAACAGGACAAAATCATTTTATCATATATTTTAGTAGTCCACATGTGTATCTGGTATCATTGTTTGTTTCTTCTTTATAATGAATGTTTAGGAGTAAATATGCAAAATTTCCCATTCAGTCACAAACTTACACTTTCTGGGTGAAAAATTTACCGCTCTCAGGTATGTCTATACAATATGCCAATAGGTGGTTAGCTTAGCTTTACATAAAAACTGAAAATGGGGGGGAAACAGCTGCCTGGTTCTGTCCGAAGGTAACCAAATATAATAACCATCAGCACCTCAGTAAACAAAAATCAAAAATTAACCCAAAATGAAAGTGCAGAAATGACAAATTATGGTTTATTGTTGTTTTTACACTTTGGTTTTTGTAAAGTTTGAACAAACAAGCTGTTATATATTAATAAGTGAGCATTAGAGGCACTGGTGGTGGGATTGTGTTTGAGGCAATCTAGCTGTATTCAATGTTTATGTGAAGCTCAGCTAACTGGCTATTGGCTCTAGCTTCATATTAAAAACCACAGCCTATCCTTTTTAGACTTTTGTTTTTGTGCAGATTAAACAAGATATGTTATGATGTTAATTTGTGAGTTTTAAACAGTGCTGGGAAACTGATTTTGTTATAGATAGAGCAAGGCTAGTTGTGTCCCCCTGTTTCCAGTCTTTATGCTAAAATATGCAAAGTGTCGCTAGCCGTAGCTTCATGTATAGCATAATGAACATGAGAGTGGAATAATAATAATAATAATAATCTTTATTTATAGAGGCCTTTTCAACAAGTGCAAAAACAAAACAGATAAAAACAAATACCCGATGAAAGCAAGAAAACACTTAAGAAACTACAATACATGTTAAAAGTGAAATTATATAAAATAGAATAAATAAAATGGACTAAAATCAGGAAAGGCTCAACTATAAAAGTATGTTTTAAGAAGGGAAATATGAGTTCACTGACTCAGCCGAACTGTATCAATCTGTGTGTACCGAAAATGTCAAACTATTACTTTAAATGTTTCTCTTAACCTGATTCATAACGAACCTTTCAGCAATTTCACTAGCTGGTTTAGCTTTAAAGTGTAGTAATAAAAACAGTTGGTTTTAATGTCTCAATATTGTTGTTGTTGTGTGACATACTGATAGGTTTGTCTGCTATCACATGTTTAGCTGTGTATATACTGTCATCTCTTAAATGGCAATAAGTAATAACTTAGCAGAACTTAAGAGGTAATATTCAGCATTAGTTTTACAGGCATACCTTTCATAAGGTAAATATGGTGTATTCTGATGTATTGAAAAATAATTTAGGAACGAGGAAGGAGTTTTCAGCTGTAATTTAAGTACTTACGTGAGACGTCGTGTGAGAGTCAGTCAGCATGGGGCAGTACCTGTTTGAGCACAACTAATTCACAAAGAATGTTAACAATCATGTTGAGAAGTCATCAGTTGAAAATTGAATGCTTTTCATGTCAGGTCATGTGTTTTCATGCTTGTCATCCATAAGTCATTGTGTAATCAGGGATTGTATTGATTATTCACTGCATGAAAGAACACGTAAGACCTGATGACACATTTTTGGCTTCTCTGTCCTTTTCTCGTATTGGTTATTCATTGGTCAGCTGATGACAGCGCAGGGTAGAACAAAATGTCAAACTCCATACCAAAATGATGAGCAGTGAATAGTGAACAGTTTAAAACTGATTATAAACACCTTCCTAGATGACAGGGAAGAGAATGGATTTGCTCAACGCACAGTTTCCACCCATGAGGAAATGGATGGACGTTCATCCTGTGCACAGCAAACACCCTTCCTGTCTCCATCCACTGTCTAGGGGTGAGGGCAGTGGGTTTATTTGGAGATTAGGCAACCTCTATCACTTCACTCTCGGCAGGTCAGCTCACATTTTGGCTTATGCGATTCAGAGGCAACCAAAAACAGACCCCCCCCCCCACCCCCCTTTTCACAAAAGGCCAAATGTTTGACCCTGTCTGCTTTTGTTATTCTGTTTCAGGGTCACATTCCTTTTGAGTAAAATTTTTACGGTGTTTACTGGGAGCAGTAACTCTGTTTTGGCCACAGGGGTTTTCGGAGCTGTTCTAGCTTTGGACATAATGGTATCAATCTGCGGTTTGACTGATTTTTTGACATAATATTTGCTTGTACTGATAGAAAATTCTCATTTGTCCGTGCTGTGTGGCGTAAATCAGCCCCGGGGGCGAAACAAAAATAAAATAAATGGCACATTTGAATACGGAAATGCAGGGCCAGTTTCAGATGTCGCCGACTGATTTATGGTGTCAGAACTCTGAGGAAAAAAGTTTCCTCTATGTTAGAACGAAGCAACTTTAGAGGCCATTTTATCCCATGTGTGAGCTATGGGAAGGATGAGTTCAGGTTTAAATACAAACCACTCGTGAAGTCTTTGTAATTCACTCGGCTCGTCAGTTTTTCCATTACGGAGCTGTTCAAAGTTTAACTCGGCATTGCGCCCTTTGAAGGCCGGGAAGAATTACTGTACAAGTCTTCAGATGAACCTCTGTAGGTGACCTATGTGTCATAGCGACACTCCCTATTGTTTGTTGGTTAAACATTACCTTATGTAAAGCCTCTGCCAGCCGCAGGCTTGGCTGTGATGCCCTGCCAACCACAAGGTCATGTGACTGTATGATCCTAGGAGACAGTTGCCACATAAACAAACCTCACCTGCTGAGTGAGAGCTTTCTGAGCGAGGCTCTCGCCACTCCAGATGGCCCACAGTTACGCAGACACAGATCAGTTCCTTCCATTTTTATCTTTAGTCAACACATGACAGAGTTTGATATGATCCTTTGGCTGATTAGTTTGACACATGAAATCAAACAAACTGCCTTCTGCTTTTAAGCTCCAACTTTATTTAGTCTCAGATGGAACAAAAATACTTATTATTTAAAGTCAATATATCTAATTTGGTTTCTGTCTGGCTTTTAGTTTAATCCTGAAGCTTCTTTGTGGGAGCCATTTTTGGGCCGATTGTCAGTGTGTCAGTTTGTCTGAGGAAGCCTAAAATGAGCTGTTTGTAGAACTGACGTAGCATGAGCTCACCTCTCTCAAAGCAAATATGCTGTAATGGCTACCTGTTGTGCTGGTATTTAATGTGTAATTAGTGGAAGAGGGTCTTTTAAAAACCTGCGTAATGGCAGACTTCACACTGTCAGTAAAACAGCTATTTAGGGAAATTTTTTATGGCCTCTGTGATTTCATTAATGTCAATATCTTAGGTCAGCCATTCCTAAAGCCTGGAAAAGCACAGCTCATTTGGTTTTCATCATCCCTTGAAATGCTGGGGTGATTTTAAGTTAATGTGAAAGACATACTTAAGATCAACAGTGACTGCAGTTTAAACAAGGCTGTCGTTCTAATGTTCTTCCTCTCTGCCCACAGTTTCCATTCTCTGCTGTGTCTTCATACTGTTCCTGTTCCTGTCTGAGCTGACGGGATTCATAGCCACTGAAATGTAGGTATCGCTGCATCAAATCTATAACTGTGTATCTTGTAATGTCAACAGGGACAGTCAGGGACTTAATCATGAATGACATTGCCCCCGTTATGATGTATTCTGCTGTGCCCATGTTGTAATCAATGAATGGAGTCGGTTTTCTCACAGGAAATTGGCTTTGTGGATGCGTCAGCCTCTTGGCGATATGTAATAACGGATGGCTTCAGGGAAGATGTGACTGGAAGGAAATTACACTGACAGAGCTACACAAATGCTCTTTCCTTGCAATTTGGCTGAAGATGAATCCTCGTCTGTTTAAAAGAACATGTTGATGGAAGAGAAAATTGTCTTTTTTTCCCTTCTTCCTCTCATTTATAGTTTGGTTTTGGTTTCTAACCATGTTTCTCTTGTATGTCCCATCACAGTGTAAATGAACTGTATGTGGATGATCCTGATAAAGACAGTGGTGGGAAGATAGAAGTGAGTTTAAACATCAGTTTGCCAAACTTACACTGTGATTGTGAGTATATACATAATATACACATATATACAAATCTCAATTTCTTTGCATTTCACTTCCTGTCTGTGTGTTTTTATGTTTCACATTGTTTATGGTCTCCTTTTTACGGTGTGTTTTTCCCCTTATCAGACATAATCATACATAGCCCGTCAGTTAACATGGCATATTGGCAAAACATAAATGATGACCTAGATAAACAAGTAGACTCCAAACTACATAATGGTTTGTTTACCCGGCTGTGTTGAGGCATGCTCCTAGATAACAGCTGATTTTCACCCAGCCTCAGGCCTGTGTTGCCTCCGTTTGATCTTGTGCTGCCACGCAGCCGTGAAACGAGTTTGACATAACGTTGCCTCCATTGGCATCGTCTGCCTCTACTTCGATGTCAGAGAAGTGGGCAAGGCCGGCTGGAGCTTGCCAAGACGGAGAGCAGTCACTGGTTATTTCCTCTTCATGACTCCCATCAGAAACTATGCCCAATGACACACATGCACACACACATTAGCGAGGTATGGGGGCAGCACAAAAAACACACATCCATTGGATTCAAGCGATATCCAAAAATGGCAAAGCTAATAAATGCTTGTGTGAAAAATGAAGTCCAGATTTCTGCGAGAGAGGCTTTGGCTTTGCAGACGCACAGCTGTTGGCCATGTGTGACGAGCTCACTCATGGCATACCTAAACAAAGGCCCTCTCCTGCCGTTTCCAATTAAAGCTCTTGATGATTGTGTGCATGGTGGTTTTGTTTATATGTAGAATTAGATTTTTTATTTTATTTTTTATTTTTTTGCAGAAATGTGGTGGCCCTCTTAAATACCAGCTCAAACACGTCTGTCTAACCACACTGCAGCTGCATGCAATGAGCAGAAATGTTCCCCAGCAGTTCTCCCAGCATGTTAGTATTGTGCTTCAGTTTATTTTCCGGGCCTCCAAATAAGTTGTCATCCATTACAGATTTACCTGGAGGGAGAAATCGTTTCATTATGGGAAAAGCTGGCATTTCCATCTCTTTTTTATTATTTATCTGCTCTGCTGAGCCGTTCCACAGTTGAACACTGTCTCCATTCACTGACCTTTACGGGTGGCCAGGTCTTGATTTGTGACTTAATGGAAAAGCAGAACTGCGTGTAATAACTGTAACCCCCTGCCCAGGATCCACTTCACATGAACACACTTCCAGTTCTAAATGTCTTAAAAAGGAGAAGCAACCAGCTCAGGCACACATATCTTATATTTGTGCACTGTATTTTGAGATGTGGATAGACCGTGGGGTGGGGGACTTGTCTTGAATGTCAAAGGTCAGACAGACGGCATGTGGAGGTTTTAGCACAGATCCAATAGACGTCCCTCTACCTAGTGCTGGCTAATACACAGCACACAGGCAGGCTCTGAAAATAGGCCACTGCCAGTGTGCCAACACATTGCGGCCTGCAGGAGGGGCGTCAGCAAAGTCTAGATGGAAAAACACAGAAAGAGGGAAGGATAGGTGGTCTGTTTGGACCGTGTGTTTACTCTGTGGTTCAGTCTCTGCAGTGATATTCAGATTTTCTCTCCATATTTCTCTCCTCCGGTGTTAATATAAAAAGTGCTTGTTTGACTGTAAAACTAAATAGAGCTGCAGATCATGATTATTGTCATTTATCATTTCTTTGATTTCCCAAGTAATTGTTTAGTCTGTGAAGAGTAAAATCTGGAAAAATGCCTTTCACAAGGTTGTGACAAGGGCTGTACACATCGATTATTTTTCAAGTCGATTAATCTAACAACTAATTTTGTGTGTTCTAAAGAAAAAAATGTTGATATTACTCGATTAACGTACCAATTTATCCAAAATAAATATCAAAAACATGTCTAATCAATAGATCAATATTTTATTCATTCATCCTGATGAAGCAAATTAGAATAATGACAATAGTAGCATATCTTAAAATGAATCCAATTTCCAGATTCAGCTGTTTTCTCGCTCATACGTAGCCGTTAAATTAAAACAGAAAATATGAAATGGCCGAACGTTGGATGACACACGGTGTGACTTTACGTTACCATGACAGCAGCAGGGCAGAAAAGATCAGCTGATGAACAGCCTGTTTGAGTTTAAATGCAGTTTTGAATAAATTGCCTACTCTATTTTTTGTCTCTTGCTCCGGTTTCTTCTTTTGGCATTTTGAAGCAGTACTTACAACCTGGTTATGATCCACCAGCGCGAAATGCGAGTACTTGCAATATTTCCCCCGGTCTTAAGATTTTGTTGAGTGTTTTCTTGAACTCAAAAACCAAAACAAAGATTATAATTTAAAACAGAGAAAGAACAGAGCTGAATCAGTTATTTGGGTGTTTGACCAATTGATTTATTAAAATTATTATTTAAAACATTCTCTGGTTCCTGCTTCTCAAATGTGGGGATTTGTTGCTTTTCTGTGTGTTTTGTCATTGTAAACATGTTTGGATTTTGAATTGTTAATAGGATAAAAGATTTTTAGACTGAACTGCTCACTAAAACTGATTAACTAATCTCCCCTAAAATTGATAATCGACAATGACATAAATGTTGATTGCAGCCCTAGTTTGTTATTTTTGCTCAACATATCACAGAAGAGATGCATCAATCATGAACTGTTAAAGGTTTGGAAGCAGCAGAGGAAGCTGTGTAATATCTTGTTTCTTATTCTTTCTTGTTCAGTATGTATATAAATTCTCTCATGTGTCTCTTTGTTGTTTCAGTGGTGGGTTTGGACATCCAGGATGAGATGGGCCGCCACGAGGTCGGTCACATAGACAACTCAATGAAGGTTTCTCTCAACCACGGTGATGGCTGTCGCTTTGAGGGAGAGTTCACCATCAACAAAGTAAGACCTCATCACATGGGGAAGAAGTAAAACCCGCACTGTTTGAATTACTTGCTGACCCCCATCTGGTTTTCTTTTGTTTGTTTTTTGTGTGCCCAGTAATCACATTATGATGGACTGGAGAAGAGGCCTAATATTTTGTACGACACAAGCTATTGGGTTTTAAGTTGTTTATTTGTCTGGGACTTGAGTTAAACATAGAGGGTGAGCCCGAGTCGATTACGGCCGACCTGCTTCCTCCTCCATTCTAAATTGAGTTATGTGAAAGGAAGAGCGCTGGGATCGGCTTGAGTTACATCTGACAGTGTAGTCTGGGCCCTGTTTGTCCTACCACCATCTTGTGCGTCACACTTTCCAGTGCATTTAAAATGATTAACCCAGCAGTTGCATGTTTAACAGTCTGGCTTGTGGAGTATTTGGAAATATTTGGAACGTGTTAAAGTGGGTAGATTTTTCTTCAGGAGGCAAGGACCATTTTGTTTCCAGCCCATTGTGTGTGTGCGTGCGTGTACTCAGACTTGGTCATTAATTAACGCAACGTGTTGCTGGTGCTTGTGGTGTACCTGACACAACCTTACCTAGCCCTGCGTGTGTGTGTGTGTGTGTGTGTGTGTGTGTGTGTGTGGGGGGTTTCAGGTACCAGGAAACTTCCACGTGTCGACACACAGCGCTACAGCGCAGCCCCAAAACCCTGACATGACCCACACCATCCACAAGCTGGCCTTTGGAGAAAAGCTCCAGGTCCTGGCACACACTAAAACACACCCTGGGTGGACAAAAATTGGCTACAGAAGTGATCTACAGTGTCAAGGCTAAACAAAGATCTCTTTTCTCTCTTTTGTCACACAGGTACAAAAAGTACAAGGAGCCTTCAACGCGTTAGGAGGGGCTGACAGGCTGTCATCTAATCGTACGTATGCACTCAACATAACCACATTTTTGATCATTCCCCACATTTTTATAAGGCTCCTTGCTGACGTAGAGTGATGCAATGAAATGAGACCCCTAGTGGACGTCTATCGAATCCAAACTGAGTGGAAACTTGATTCACGCAGCTGGCACTGTGTCTCTGGTGGAAAGGTTACAGGCAGTTGCGTCATTAATAAAACTGCATGTATATTTGGACACTAAAGACACACTAAAAAATTTTTTAAATAACTTTATTTCTCTTGCAGCGCTGGCCTCACATGACTACATACTGAAGATCGTTCCAACAGTGTATGAAGACCTATCAGGCAGACAGAGGTTCTCCTACCAGTACACGGTAGCCAACAAGGTGCTGTATTCCTGCTAATATCCCTCTTTTCTTTCCCTTCTTTCCCGTTCGATCATACCTCGTGTTGTTTTTGCACCTGTCATGGAAGCAGCGTGACCGTCCCAGCATATGGCCAGAGCACGTATCGCCGCGATAACTTGTGCACTCACCTGGAAGTGAAAGCGCACCCCTAGTGACTGGAAACGCTCCCTAGATGTCAACAAACCATAAACATACTTCCTAGAACTGTATTGACTAACAGCTGGGTTTTGGAGTAATAACAGCGCCGGTTAACTGCGAACCGAGGAGGATGAGCGCCTGTAAAATAAATATTCTGAAATCTCATTGCCCAGAGCACAAATAAAGGTCCAGCTAAGGCAGGCATCAGTGCCTGGAGTGCAGCAACAATCTTTTTTTCATTTATTATATTAATATTTTGCAGAAATGTGATTTATATAAACTCACTGATATCCATGTCATAACATAACAATAACTCACAAAGCAGTAGCCTCCTCCCTCTTACTTCATCTGTTTTATTCAGCCAGTATTCATTTTTAATGAATCATTTATGACTCGAGTGACTTTATCCGAAACCAATTCTGTAATGACTCGCAAACACCATTTCTGCCACTAGAGATATGAATAAAATTGAGATTGCTCTAAATTGATTTCTAAAGGTAATGGGATTAACTGTCTTAGTGTTGATTAAATTAATTTCTCTCGCCAGGCGCAGCTCCATAACCCATTCAAATTTGTAACACTCTCTTTTTCCATCTCACACAGGAATATGTTGCTTACAGCCACACGGGCAGGATCATACCGGCTATCTGGTTCCGATACGACCTCAGTCCGATCACAGTCAAGTACACCGAGAGGAGACAGCCCTTCTACCGCTTTATCACAACAGTGAGTGAATTCTTCTCAGGGCTTTGCCAGAAAAAATCTACTTCTTCTTAAAAAAAATCATTTTATTACAATTCAAGGTCTTTTAAAGGTCTTAAATATGGTGAAAATTGTGATTTTAGGTTTTAAACGTCAACTTAAAGTGGAAATAACAGATTTGTTTTAGCCACATAGTGGCAGCGGAAACAAAACACATTATTTTTTACCATTTAAGTTGATTTGGCTAACTTATGGGCAAACAGCTGCCTTTTTGCAATCCAGCAGAACAGAGGAACATTAGTGTCCATTTCGAATTTTGGTGTCTCATCTGGTGCATGTAAGTCCAATATTCACTCTCTTTTAGCTGTGGTTTGGTCTCTACCAACTCCTGCCTTAAAGCTGCACAAAATCATATTTTTGTAGGACAGAGGGTGTTGTATTCTGTACTGATGGTAAAGACCCTTGACGCAAATTTGTGATTTATAATATTGGGCTATATAAATAAAAATTATCTTGACTTGACTGTTATCAATGGGAAACAGTGTAACACAAAAGCCGTTGCTTTTAGTGATGAAGCCAACTGTGCAGTTAGTTCCTCTCAGCTCTCTCAAGCTTTCTAGCATCTTTCAGCTAATCATTAAGGTTTTACTGCATCTTTACTGTTTTGGTTCACTCTTGGCACTCTTATCAACTCTGTTTTCACCAGCAGAGGCAGCTTGTGAAAAAGCTCACCAAACAGACAAAATTAGCGACTAGCTGGAGAACATAGTGTAGCATTTAGCAGCTAAAAGACTGATATTTCCCTCAGGTGTGAGTGGAGGCCAAAAACAAAGCTAAAGGGAGAGAATACTGGGCTTATCGGGTGGCCGGAAACAGGACTCCAAGTAAATTCTAATGCTGTGATGTGTCTGCTGGATGTGTAAAAAGGCAACTGTTAGCTAACACGTTCACCACAACAACTTATATAACTTGTTGTTTTTTTTCCTTTATCTTTATTGGTCTCATAAAAGGTCTTTTGAAGTCTCAGACCTAAAGAGCTTTTAGGCAAATACGCTTATTTTAGATGAGAATATCGATACCTGAATGCTTGGCTCTGTCCAAAGAAAACAAAGTTTAATCTGTATAAAAAACCAATTCCTTTTACTTCCTGAATTCCCTCTATTTTTCTCTGCCTACTACCTGATCTTCTCAGTGGAGGAATTTTGGCGCTGCCTGTAACACCTCATTAGCAAAGTTTTCTGCTGACTGATAATGCAGGTCAGCATTTAATTGGCTGCCTGGCTGATGAGCTAAACCGTTACTTGTCTTTTGTGTTGTTTAGGTTTATCATGACTTAAGACATGGGTAGGATATGACTGTGCTTATAGTGTCATTGTGAGTCATGGCTTAAGATTGTGAGTCAAGCTGCAGCAGGGCTCTTTAGTGGATTCCAGCACATTCTGAGGTGTCAGTGCAATGTATTATTATGGTTGATTCAAAGCAGCTGATGTGTGTGAGCCATTTATAACCAGGAGAGAAAATCTTTTTAATTGGTGAAACTGACAGAGTGACTTGTTTTCTGTAGATCTGTGCCATCGTTGGCGGGACATTCACAGTCGCAGGAATCATCGACTCCTGTATATTCACCGCTTCAGAGGCCTGGAAGAAGATCCAGATAGGAAAAATGTCATGAGGACTGTTCCCCTCCCCTCCTCACACCTTATTTATAAGTGCAAAGTTGCTATCCTGTTAGCTAAATCCAATCCTGCTCAAACCAACTTCCTTTTGGAGACTGTATCATCGTGAACCAGCGAAGTGCTCCGGCACTCGATCTAACTAGCAGGCTACACGGCTGCGTCTCAGTTACTTAAGGTCCTCTCCTTTTGCTCTGGTGACGTGTGGACGCTGACTATCACATGTCCGCTTCCTCCGTTTTCAGTGTCAAGAGAGGAGAGCTCTTTTATTACTGTGGGGATTATGTCTAAATGTGTCAGGGTTCAACCAGTATGGATATTTGAAGGCTAAACCTGTTTTTTTTTTAATTAAGTAAAAAAGAATCTAATATTTGTGCTGATATTCAGTTTTTTGGTTTTTTTTAATCTGGCGCTAAAACCATGTGTGAAAAATCTCCATATAGGGACAATTTCAATTTAGAGTGGTATACAGACAAAAAGACATAAGTCAGTGTTTAAATTAATTCAAAAAGGGATCAGACAGGTCTATTGTTCAACCTGTATATCTGTCCAACTGTGCTGGGTTTGTTTCTCCAATACTGCCAAAAGAAATGTTTTCAGGTTTGTGTAGTGGGGCGCGAACTGGATTCTAATAGTATTTCAGTAGTTCATACTGTCCATAAAGGTACATTTTATATCATGTGACACTATTCTTTTCTTCAGCCATCATTTTATCTCCAGTATTCTCCAGAAACTGTCTGCCTTTTTAGGTTTACCATCAGCTCTCAGGCGTCTTGTCTTTCTCTTTCAGTGGCTGCCACTGAAACCTGAATTTCCTGAAGTTTCTTTCATGCATGTTACGGTAGATTTACTTTTTAGAGACTTTTTTTCCCAATACAGTGATCATTGTTTACCTTTCAGTCCATTTATACCAAATATTTCATCAGTGCTGTTAAAGGTCCTAGCTCTGACCTTTTCCTTTGCCTTTCAATTATTGCATAAAATAAAATGAATGTCTAATTTTTCCCAACAGATTGGTTAGGTTTGGTTTTTTTAAACACGGTACATGAATTTGTTTACTTCTTGTGTTTCCATGAAGTTGTAAATTGTCAGGAAGATTTGGTTTTGTAAGGAGAGAACTTGTAGGCCAGGATGTCTTTCCTCTTTGGTAATATTTTTCCCTTTTATACTGTAGTATAAAAGACCTCTGATCAAGGACGGTGATGACCACAGTCCCTCGGAACTGGTCTTTCTGGTTTATTTTCTTTTCTGTCTCAAATTACTCTGTAATGCTATGTGTTCCTCAAGTAAAGGTGCCATAGAAACCACTGTTGTACTAACCTTATTTTTGATTTTACTTCCTCATTTTGAATCCATTCTGTTTAGGATAGATTTGGTTGTACAAGTTTCTAAGGGAGTACTTTCCTACTAAACTGAGGTTTCACATAAAGGATTTTATATTCTGGCCTCAAATAAGTGAAAGAAATCAGTCAATTTCATAATTAAACCTAACTAGTCAGGTTTTGGAGTCCAGGTTGCAAAGGAAGTAAGAAATAGGTGTTATGGTGTCAGCATGAACTCCTCTTTTTACCTGTATTTGTCCAGGTACCGTTATCAACAATTATCCAAAGAAACTGAAAATGGAACCTTTGCACTGCCGATATTGTAACACTAAGCTCTAGGGCTATAATTGTATGCATGTATGAAGTGGACTTTGCACCCAGTTGCTGCTCATTTCCCTCAGCTGGCAGCCAGACACCCCGCAGGTTGTCATCTGTGATGTGAGCATGTAAGAGGGTATTAAGCTGTCACAGCTGTCATCATGCTTACGTCCAGCTCTGATAAGAGGTGCTTAGTGTGAGTCACTCCTTTATTCATCCTACATCCTTCTGTTTACCTCCGTCACTTACTCCTTGTTCATGGTGTCGTTTATCCAAGCGTCTCCACCTCCACTAAACAACACAGATCCACAAATATCTGCTGGCTTCGTTGATTGGTCCGTTAATGGGGATCATCACAGAGCTTGTGGCTCTAGTTTGCTGTGGACTGTAACTTAACACGGCATGACAAATGCAAATTTGCACTTGAAACATGTACCTCGCTGGTGTAATGACAGCTCCAACTTCATAATAATCAGAGAGAGGAGAGCAAGAAGAAGATAAATTTCTTTATTTCTTCCTATATGAGTCATAATTTGTACTCTGTATATAAAAGATAAAAATATAAATGTGTGAATAGACAATACTTAGGGTTTGTTTGTCATAATGCTGCCACCCAGTGGCTTATTAGAGGAACTTCAGGCACATGTAGCTCAGTCTGTTTTGTTGAGGCAGCAGCCTGAGAGGAGGGAGTTTGAGATGAGTAGAGGTCAGCTCCAGTCATAAGGATCCATAACCTTATCTTCATTAATAAATGACTAGCTACATGTCAATACTGGGATGTTACTAAAGCCTACACACCTCCTTGACCTGAGCTGCCCACTTTTTTTTTTTTTTTTTTTTTAACCCTTTCATCCTCTCAGGCTGCATCTTTGGTAAGTTTACACATTAGAGGAGGCCAGGCAGGGGGTGTCGGGCGAGGAGAAGAAGTCGCAGAAGCCTTCCTCGGACAGGTGTCCGTACTCGTTGTTGTAGAAGGTCTGTCCTGAAAGCTGGCTGAAGAAGTTGGGACGGTGCCTGGAGCTTCCAGCGCCACTGCTTCGACCCAAGGAACCATGGGAAGCTGTCAGAGGCTCTGTGCTGCTGCTGCTGCTTATACGACTGGGGACAGAACAGCTCTCAGCATTACTGTCAAGTAGTGACAACTAAGGCACACTAGCAAAAGAGATGGTATGCTAAGTTAGGACATACAGAGATGTCTGTGGGTATGATTGTTTCTCAATTTTCTCATAAGAGAAACTTGTGGAGAACCAAACTACTTCATGTTCATCTGGACGCATATTCAACTGCTAAACCAACAATGAATTGATTGTACTAACTAGGGTCTGTATAGCCAAAGCCTGAGCTCTGTTGTTGTCCAAAAACTATTAAAAACACTGTTGTACTGCTGACATGTTTCTTTGTTGGCTCTGTAGTCCATTCCACATACACTGTCCTGCTGCTGTAAATCCTCAAATCCACAGCTGAAAATAGTCCCCAACATACACACCAAAGACCACAGCGAACTCTAGGAAATGTATATTTTTCTCCTTGCATAATATTTTTGTCTCACTTGTCCATGAGGTTCTAGATTTTCCATATTCTATACATTTTTGGTTTTGTTTCAATTCCAGCTAGTTTTTCTGTAATAACATCTGTCTTTATATGGCTATTGGTTACTTGGGATGGGAAGTTGTTCACATAATTTAATGAATTCAAAAAATGTTTTTTAAATGATACAGAGGTAGGTTTGTCTCTGGCTATGCTTAGAGCATAGTGATAATTCATGTAATTAATTGGGAGCTGCTCTTCGATATTCTCCTACACTTTGCTGTGAGTAGGAGTGAGTTGCTTGATAATTTCGTCTTGTTCTTTGCTTTTACCAATGACCTTTTTTTTGCCTAGTTGGCTTTTCAGAGCTTTTGAAGTGTGATTCTCCAAACGTTTAGAAATATGGACCCTGGGTTCAAATTACTCAGATCATATTGCTTACTCTTACCTACCTATGCATGAATTGAGACTGCTGATGCTTCTTTTGGAAATCTGCTGTAGTTTCACTACACATAAGGCTGCGAGTGACTGTATTCTACACGCTTCCAAGCAAAGAGACAATAACAGTTTTCTGATACCAACTCTGAAACGCATCTATAAAAGTAGCCTTTACTAATACATCTGAAAGGCCTCACTCTAACCTGACCGGCATTGTGTTGTTTCACAGTGAATAATAATCAGTCCAAATATCAAACACTGACATTGAATAACCGTCTGCACATCTTGTGTGTATTACTTTTAAACAATAATATGGATCATAGCTTTTGTGTTGCTAACCTTTTTGAGACGGCACCCCTGTGCTTGTGTTCAATTCTCTCAAATTCTTCGGAGGCCAGAACCATCCCGCTGTCTGTCTGGTTGTCCTGGGAGGAGACACAGTTGGACATCATGTGAATTAAATGCCTTGGGTTCACCCCGCTGCAGCAACTATTTTTGTCAATTATCCGAGGAGAAAATTCCCAATGTCGAAGGGCATTTGCAAAATGTCACCAATCAGTTCACATTTTCAACAACTGATGAGAAGATAAAGAGCTCACTTGAGGAGATTTCTGTGGGTGCATCTCCAGGGGCAACTCTTCAAATGTCTTCACTCTGGGCTTGCACATTTTGGAGGGTCCCACAAAGACACAGCCGGCAAAGGGCACGCAGTTATAATACCTGGTCAAGAAGTGTAGGAAATTTGATCAGATTAATACATGATTGACCATGGGCCTCCTGGTGACATGAAAATACCAGGGATAGATAAAAATCAGTAAAAATAGTAGTAGAGCAGGCGGGAATACGAGCTAAATAATTTGCAATAAGCGGAAAAAATTGTTATTAATATTATAATTTTAAAATGAAGTTTGTAATGAATCGAGAACATTTCAGGTTTCAGTGTTTTGAAGGTGATGATAAAAGGAGATGTTCCCCGGTGGGGGATCATTTATCAGCACAATGATTTTCTTTTTTTATTTTGTTAATTTTCAGTAAGGGCCTAGAGGCTGAAAGTATTCAGTACTCAAAATAAGGTAAACTTCAAAGCAACATCCGAAAATACAGACATGATAATACATCCGGGTAATAAAAATGTTTTCCCCATCCCATAAAACATCATGACCAAAGTGATCTTGAGACTCTCTGAAGGTCTGTGAACCCTAGTTTAATAACTTTAAGGGCAGTCCCTTGATAACTACAAATTACTGATTGATAGACTGGAGAGCGCTTTTGCGTAAAGTAATACCAACAGGATGGGAAATAATGGACATCATGCAAGAACCTCTCATACAAACAGATTCACTCTTAAGTGACACATATGAGTGATTTAAGAGAATTTGTCGTATTCACCAGCAGAATTTGAGAATAAACTTAACAGGTGGTCCAGAATCTGTCATAGAATTCAGACTTAAGAATGATAATGCCTCAGTATGAGTCTGTTGATAAAAGGATGAATACCGGAAGATACTGGAAT